CACACACACACACACACACATATTTTTTTTTTCTTCAGAGGAGTTATTTCATGCCCCATAAGCCTTATCATAAATTATTAGGTTATGTTTCAGGGTGCACTCACCCTATAAAAAGAAAATCTGATGGACTAGTTTACTTCACTAGAAATTGCAAACACTCAGGCGGGGCACGGTGGCACACACTTTTAATCCCAGCATCTCAGGAGGCTAAGACAAGGATCCTGAGTTCAAAGTCAGCCTCAGCAACAGCAAGGCGCTAAGCAATTCAGTGAGACCCTGTCTCTAATAAAAATACAAAATAGGGCTAGGGATGTGGCCCAGTGGTTAAGTGCCCCTAAATTCAATCCCCAGTACCAACAATAAATAAATAAATAAACTAGAAATTGGGAATTGCTAACACTCAAACTCCAGCAATGCTCTGTGTTAATTAGTATTTCTTCCTTCCTAATGGCCTCACATGTGTATAAATATTCACATGTACACATAACTGTAAGTAGCTTAAAGTTTAAAGGAGGAGTTGAAGGACAGTTAAGATGACCATGCATCTTTGTACTTTAAAGGCCCCAAAGCTTTTCAAAGCCACAATTAAATGTGGTTTGTTGTATACTGACTGATAGAGGGGATCTGAATTATTCCCTAGCCGGTGCTACATTAAACCATTTTTCATTAGAATTCCTTTTTCCAGACAGAGCAATACAAGCTCTGCTGCCAGGTAGGTGTCTTGGGAGAGATTGTCCTATCACGTAACAGATCAGGAAGTAAATTTTCATTTCACAGAGGAGTCCTTGGAGGAATATTTTAATTTTACTTCTGAAAATACACCCAGTATATCCTCTACCCTTCTAAAAAATCTCTGTGCATGTGGTCACAAGTGCTTACACTGTGCCCCACACACACACACATACATATATACATACTTATATACACACATATATAGTCTAAACTTAGGCTCTAGTTGAAAATGTACCTAGTCAAGACAGAAGTAATGAATAATAACACACCTCATCATCAGCCTGTCGGAGCCGGGCCACAGCATAACGCCTCACTGTTGGATTGGTGTAATGAGAAGACAACAGTTCCAAGGAATCTTCTACATCCATTGGCTTCCATTTTCCCAGAAGTTCTAATGCCTGTTTGGCCTCCTGAGGTAGATCCCAATTAACACATTTCAAGAATTTTGTCAAAGCCTAAAATCAGAAAAGATTTTAAAATTAGAAATAACATCCTATTGCGTGGGTTAAGAAAAATCAAGGGTTATTAGGCAGTATCAACAGTGTGTCACAAAATACAGCAAACAAGCAAGGTAGACACTCTCATCACTAGTCTCACTCTCAATCATCTCCCTTGGGTATGATCACTGGCTTTCCTACATTCCTACCCATAGGGACTGAAACAAGAATAAATGTCTCTCTGAGAAGTAACTACTTGAAAAAAAAAACGACATGCAATCCAACAAAATCCCCTCCCCCCAAAAAAGCATCAAAATGGATAAGTACAAAAGCAGCAAGAGATAGTCTGATTCAACAGACTGCAGCATCCTTTTGGAAGCTTACTTCTTTAGATAGGCAGCACTGAAGTTTTCACAAGACTGTCAGCTAAGGAGGTATCACTCATGGTTGCATAAATACTGCCTGCTCTTTTAGAAAAATGGTATACTTGTTTTCTACTTATAGCCAAGTCTCCTTTCTGGTGATACTTTCCTGGAAGAACACCAAGTGTTTTCTTCATATTTTTCTTCCACTAGGAATTTATCTGTGAATTATCTCTTAAGCAAAAATAACTTTAAAATTTTAAATTTCTGCTCTGCCTAAATAAAATCATTTTATTAGTTAGGTTTTCAAAAATGGACAACAAAATACAATTTAGTATGACATAAAATGAATCTTCGTGACCATCCCTATACTTATTCTTGATTTCACTAAATTAAAAATTTTAAAAAGGCACTAAGGAGAAAGACTATCTTGTCCGTTCTTTAAATTATATGTAACTTTGGAAAAGATAAAAGGTGCACCCATCACCTCAAAATGTGAATGAGCCAGACCTAGAATTCAGAATCAGCTCCAAGATTCTCCCACCAGATGGTACCTACCATTCTCTAATTAGCCAAGCCCTGATCCTAGAAGCCATCCATCACTTACACTGATTTTATACATCTATTACCATTTCCTGTCAATTAGTCCTAGCAATATTTCCTGAATTTCCACTCAGTTTGATTCTCATTATATCATATACCCAGAGTATGACAAGCCATCAAAGAGCCTCAATACCAGTTTATGTCACACAAAAAGTTAGACACTTAAAGCTATAAGTGCCAGATGCAATGGTGCATACCTGTAATCCAGTGGCTCAGGAGGCTGAGGCAGGACAATAAGGAGTTCAAAGTCAGCCTCAGCAACTTAGAAAGGCCCTAAGCAACTTAGCCAGAACCCTGTCTCTACATAAAATATAAAAAAGGGATGTAATGTGGCTCAGTGGTTAAATGCCCCTGAGTTCAATCCCTGGTACAAAAAAAATAAAGGAAAAAAAAGCTATAAGTGATCCTAGCAGAAACTACTCTCAGCAGAGATTTAACCTATGACATCTATGCCAAAAAGAAATCCAACATTTATTTACTTAATTCCAGTGAATACATTTCAAAGTACGAAGTAGCCATTACACTTATAGACAGCTAAAGCTTTTTGTTTGCTTTTACAATAATGGACCAAAAGACCCCCAAAAAATGTTTATATATAATTTCTTCCCATTGTTTCTGTTCATTCTCTGGAGATAATGAGAATAAACTTAATCCCACACATATGGACAGCCCTTCTACTGGGTCTGCAGATGAATGCCACACTGATGATGAAGACACTCTAGTTTGTAAGTAAGTAAATTAAGTAAATAAATACATAAATAGATGAAAAAAAAAACTCTTAGCTGTTTCTTAAAATACTCCACTGATACCCCTCACCACAATCCAAGTCTCTATTTACTAAACTCTCATTACTCTTCTACACATCAGTCAAGTTAACCCATCTTATGATAATTCTCCCTGTCTACAATTTTTTCTTAAGTTATTTTCTAAAAAAAAGTGTTATCACCTTTAAGGTCAGCTTGTACTCAGCTTTTCCAGAAAGTTTTCAGCAACTTTCAGTTTTTCCTTTAGTCTCTGGCTCAGATTTACGATTACAATTTAAATGATGTTTTTGTAACTGCCAAAAGTTTTTGTAAACTTTCTTATCTCTACAACTAGAGTCAGCATTCTCCGAGGATAGCTGTCCATTTCCTCTGTACCTCCTGTAAGCAATTCAGAATAACGCACCCTCTCAATAGGAAACACAGATTACCATCCCAATTAATCCCATGCATTTATTTTTCACTTTGAAAATGTATTTATAGACTGAATGTGGAAACAAAGCAATACTTCTTAAAGTAACTACAGTGAAAGCTTTTCCATTTCGTAGTACATCAACAGTCTTAATAGGAATGAGTAGGTAGGTATTATCTTACAACATGCCAATGAACTTGATTCAACAACAAAAACAATCTAATTCCTAGATTTTTTCCAGTTTATATATTTAGTAATAAGATTTAGTGCACACTGCTGCCAAGGAATTAACCACACTGTACACACACACAAAAAAAAATCACAACTTTATAATGATTACTGTTACAAACAATAAACCAAGAGGTAAGGAAATGAAGAAGGGAACAAGAAAAAGAAAAATAAGAATAATAATTTGAAGACAAGAATAATGACGAAAATTTATCCTAGGCCTGCTCTTTTAAAAATGCTTTATTCATCTATGTAAAGATACAGGATTTAAATGCAATTTTATTTGAGCCAGGGTGTCTGGGTTCAAATCCTAATTCCTGAATATGTCAGTATATTAGCTGAATCACATAATTTAACTTTTAGGGAACCTATCTCATTAGGTTATGATGAAGATTAAATAAGTTAATGAAAGTAAAACATTTAGAACAGTGGCTTCCATATAATAAATACTTTGAAAAATGTTCACCATTTTATTTTCACTTATTGTCATTCTATTTTGTATGTTAAGTCTATTATCAAATGTTCATTTTACTGCATTTATTATAATATTTCATATTAATAATTCTGATCTCCTACTACCAGAATCACAATTACACCAATGCCAAAAATACTATATTTACCATATATATATTTTTAGGTTTAACTGCTACCCAACTCAATTATTAGATCCTTCCTTCCTTCCTTCCTTCCTTTTTATTTTTAATGGTGCTGAGGATTGAACCCAGGGCCTTGTGCATGCAAGGCAAGCACTCTACCAACTGAGCTATATACCCAGCCCTAATTATGTCTTTTTAATAACTTGTCAACTTTACTCCAAAGTGCTTAAATTCATCTTCCTAAAATAACACTTAAGACATTAGTAGTTTCCTGTTGGCTATAAAATCCAATTCCCAAGGGCTAACCTCAAGAACCAAAACAATCTGGTGCCTTCTTTTCTTTAAATAACCTTTCATACTAACTATTGTTTTCTGAACAGACTGCCTTACTCATTGTTAGCTTCTCCATGAAAAAATGATCACCAAGTAAATAATGCCATCAGAGTATGCTCAAATTTAAGTACAATCTTTCCTCACACCACACCATAATGATCCTGCTACATTTAATATTTCCGTTACAACAATCACCTTCATTTTCACTAAAAGAGTCACCCTTAATTACTATCCCCATACTTCTCCATATTAATGTGAAAACATTCTTTGCCTAAAACAAATTTCATTTATATAATATGTGGATATAATACCTAGAGCCTTGTACAATGCTATGCAAAAAGTGAAGAAATGCTTGTTGAACTTCAGCTATGGTTCTGCATCAACTTCTTAGTAATAGACACAGATATGACTACTGTCCTATAATCACTGTCTCAGAAGAAGCCTCCTAAGAACAAGCAAGTGCATCACCATTATCTTCACTATATGTGACTCTTCCTATAGCTTCTTCTCCAAGGCATAATCAAGATCATGAAGTTAATATAACAATTATTTTCAACCAACACTTTTTAAAGAAAAGCTACTATGAAAAATAGCTTTTAAAAAATCACAACATTTACATTTTGGGGTCTACAAAAAAAAAATAAGTCACTTCCTATCTACTGTGAACTAACTGGAAATAATTTTATTAGATCAATTTATTAATGTAAACTTTATGGACAACATCATGTCCAGAGTAGAGGATTTTATCCAGAATATTCAAGACAAGCCATATAGAAAAAATAGGTAGAAAGACCAAATTTAGGTTTTTTTTTTTTAAAAAAAAAAAGGAAAACCAATTTTCTCCAATTTCTTTTCTAAGCACTGCCTTTTCTCTAGGAAAGCTCTTTAGCTGCTGGGCCCAAATGCTAAATCACAATTTATGAGAACCTAACATTAAAAGAATGTCTTTGTGTAAATGAATTAAGGAGTGGTTTGTGAGGCTATTTGTTTTCTACAAAACCCATTTAAAATTATTACAAGGATACAAATGTGGCTGTGTAAATAATTCCTCTGGTCACTTCAAGGCCAATATACATTTGGTTTACTCAAAAGTTCTTCCCCAAAATTAAAAAATATCTTTCACTCTACTCTAGGCATCATTAGGAATCCTGTAATATGTCCTGAGAATTGAAGTTTCATCACTACCTTTCGAAAACTTGAAATCAACTAGTTAAATGAAACTTGTCACACACTTTATATCACTTGAGCATTTTATTTCTTTTGCACATACCTAGAAGTAATTGAATTTCAGTGGGAAGTGACTACTTGTTTAAACAAACAATTTTTCTTGCAAGCTTTTCTAAGAAAGTTCTGCTCTGTAAATCTATTCTATGCTTCTTGAACCTATACATCCTAACAGGTTTAATTCAATATCTTGCTGTGTGTTTTAGACAACACTGTGCTGCATTCAAGAAGCAATTTCTGTGACCAAGGTTACTCTTCATTTAACACAGTATCATGATACTAACTTAATCTTTATAAAATGAAATCAGAAACCTGTGTTTTCATTGATGAATATTTCCTTTCCTTCAGTGACGAAGAAAATAACACTCAAAGCTATAGTAAATCTCAAATTCCTCTCTCATTCTTACTATGGATATAAAGGAGAATAAATATGATTCATCTACAAAGAATTTCCCATGGTATCAATGAATGTTAAAAAGAAAAGAAAGAGTCAAGATCAGCTATAACCAGATTTTTATCTTTACTTCAGAAGCTAAAGAAAGGAAAATGAGTTCAGAAAAATAAGTTAAAACAAAGTAGCTAAAAACCATCTCATGAGACTGTAAAACATATTAATTCATCTTCACATAATTATGTAACAGCTTCCTGACAGATATTATTTTTCCTAAAGCTTCTCTGCTCTGCTCCTAATGCTCTTCAGCATTCCTGCTAAGGAAATTGTGCACATAATGTTGGAAATGTTTTCTCTACAAATTCTCCTTTCTTGTCTTCACTAACACCCTTCTCTTCCTTCTCATTAAGCACATACAGAGGCACCATGTATAAGCGTTGTGATTCTTCAAACATTCCTCAATCTCTCTAAAGAACAAGTTTCTTCATCTGTAGAACAGTGTCAGCATTGTGCACATTGTGGGGTTATTATCGAATTTAAAAGATCCCTGGTATACAGTAACTGTTTAAATAAATGCTGGTTATTATTTTTATACTTCAAAAGTTAATACTTGGCCATTTGTCATAAAGCATTACAGACTATACTAAGAACCAAAAGAGACATAAAATTCATACTACCAATTAATAATCTCATATTTAACATGAGGAAACTAAAGCTTAAAAAGGTGAAATAATTTGCCCATATTAAAAAAGCTTCTTGGTAATGCTAAGAAGATTTGAAACCAAATCTCTAGACTCAAACTTAGGGCTAATGACTTCATCACTTCTTTCTCTAGAAACTATCCACTCCATGGTTTCACTATGGAAATCAAACATCTCAAATCACCGAACTTCTATTCTGCTTGCCACTTCACTAACTCAATTTCTACCTTTTCATTTATGTTCTTATTTTCCCTCTAGCCACAACTCCAGAATTCTATAATTCTTTTAATAGTGTAAAATTTTCCTATTAGTCCAAATTCAAAGAGGTAAGAACAATGAGATTTTAAAACAATAATATTCACTCTACACAAAGAATATACCAGGCGCTCTGCTAGGTTATTCATTTATATTATCTCACCTGTGAAAGAAAGCTGTCTCCACTAGAATAATAACAAAAAGTAATTTACTTCTTTCTAACATATACAAGTTGTTGTTTTCAGAAACTGAATCCAAGAGACTCTGACTTCAAAACCCATTCAGATATTGTCTAAGCATCAACAAACATAAACATGCCCTGTGCTACCTCTTTATTTTTCTCCCCCAATGGAATATCAGATATATTTCTCTGTAATAATTATGTTGATAATAACTGCATTTTGATTATACTTTTACCTCATCTTGATCATTCCTAAAAAATTTTGACAATATTTAAGACACTCACTTTTTCTTGATTGGTAAGATAATATCTAAACTTCCAAACAAGATCTTGTTCTTCATATGTAAGTTGTTTGGTTGGTGGATAACTCACAATAATCTATAAAAAAGCAGAAAAAGAACTTCCTTGTAAAATATGTACTTCCTATATATTTCCATTTAATATTTTTCATTTATTAAATATTTCAATAATACAATCACTAAACAAGCAAGAAGGTACATTCAGCCAAGCAACACTTAAATTTGATGTAAGGAGAAAAAGAAGATGAAAATGTCATACTTCATATGTAAGTATGTAACTACAAAGTTCATGTACTTCAACTAAAAACAAAATAAATGATGCCCCATCACAAAAAAGGAAGAACAAAAAGCAAAGCAAACTCTTATCAACTCAATACCTACAACAATGCACATTTACACATCATCTTGTCTCTCAGGCAATGTCTTAGAGCCATGTTCTAAAAATGCTACATTGTGAAAGTAAAAACTATTTGTAGCGATTTCTAGAGTGAATACATTTACTAAAAGCCCCCACATAATTTTGTTTAAATGCAGACATGAAAAGTGTTGACATTATATAGGGCTGATCAACATGGAAAAGATGTGTATCTAAGTCATTGTTAAACTAATGTACCATCAGTTGCCACTGAAATACCCATCAAACTATTTTTATATTCATATTTTATAAGTTTTTCTTACATTTAGCTGATCTCTCGTGGCAGCATTGGGTTTGAGATCATGGTCAGAAGGTCCACTTCTTAAACTCCGGGCAAGCTTGTGGTGTTTGCTCTCAACTAAATTCTCCTATAAATTATTTTAAAATACTGAGAATATAAACTTCACAAAAAAGAAAACTCGATAGCTATCTAGTCAGAAATATAAAATGGTTGCTTACTTAAAATCATTTTATAATACTTAACATTTTATTTTAGTACAATTTTAGTCCCTTATATATCTTTAAATAATATGTACCCATTTCAAGAGTGGAAAACTATGAATGACTTAAGCTCTACTAGTGTCAAAATATGCACATGCCATGTCAGCTTCTTAAAACTTCTGGTGTTGACTGTTTTGCTCATGGTCAACATCATTAGTTTTAACCACATTATTATTGCTTAAGAAAATATGTGTGTTTTTATATTTCCTTTGATTTCTTAACACATTTATTTTATTAGTTGACTGCAGGTGTGTGAATTGTCTGTTCATGTCTTTTTCCTAACTTCTGATTTTGATCATTTGTTCTTCAACACTTTTATTTTTAGAGCTCTTTATATATCAGTAGTTCTAGTTGCTACAACCATCTTCCTTATTTTACAACAGTCTATCTTCCAAATATGCTCATCCATTAATCGAAGCTGTCAGATCCTAATTATACAAATTTTTCTTCTGTATAATGACCATCTTTCAAATACCTATTCTAATAAGTTCCCACTCTAACAACATTCCCCACCTCTTTTAAAAGGGATTCCTAACTCTATATTATCCTGACCTTGTTTTTAAGATGTCAGTGTACCTTGTGAAATTTCCATTTGATATCTGATTCTAGTAGCTAAAGTAGACTTATAAATCACTTCTAAGCTAATTGAAGTAGATATATATTACTTTTTCAAAAGAAAAATGCACTTTATGGGTCTAAGTCATAATCATTAGGGAGAAAAGTACTTCCATTAAAAAATTACACAACAGAATTACCATAGACATCTGAGGGTCAGGAACTTTCACTAATTCAAAGCTTGTTAAAATTGGAGATGACTCATCACCATCCTGGATTATAGTGTAAGAAATGAAAAAAGAAAAGAACTTTAGTCAAATGATAAAAAGCAAAACATAATGCTATATTCTATATTTTAATTCTATTCAATAAGCATCATTCTTTCCTACAAAAAAATTCTTATCCTGCCAGGCCCAGTGGTGTACGCCTATATCCCAGTGGCTCAGGAGGCTGAGGCAGGAGAATCCCAAATTCAAAACCAGCCTCACTCAGCAACTGAATGAGGCCCTAAACAACTCAGGGAGACCCTGTCTCTCAATTAAAAAAAAAAGGGGGGGTGGGGCTGGGGATGTGGCTCAGTTATAAAGCGCCCATGGGTTCATTCCCTGGTACCAAAAATAATAACAATAACAACAATAGTAATAGTAATCCTTCTCTTTTTTCACCTATATTAGAAAATATATTTTCATATCTTTGGTTACTGATATTTTGGAAAAAATAAAATCTAATAAAAATGACATTTGCAGAGATATGGAGATATGAAAATTAGCAAATGTTTTTATTGCTTTATTTTTTAAAGAATTTATTATGACAGTTCATCAAAAATAAAAGTCCTAATACTCAAACTTGGAAAAATGAAATTACAGAGCACAATTAAAGTGTGGCACAACTGATGTGTTTCACCATTTCCCAAAACCACATAAATGCTATTAACTTTTCAAGGGATCACAACTGAGATTCACTGAAAGGAATGGAATTTTAAGAGTGGGGTTAATGTTACTCAAATTTATACATAGCTAGAGATACAGAAATACTGCTCCTCAGAGGAACAACACAATGTAAACTTAAATAATAAAAATCAATCAATCAATTCTTAAGAAATAAAGCTGTCTCATTTTGTTGGTGTTATTTCTGAAGAATGCTGGCTTTTATTTTTATCCTATTCAGGCATGGAGGTAATTTAGTATAATAAATGTCACTGCCAAATATACTGGAAAAGGCTAAACTAATTAAGGTTGGAATTCATTTCCTCATGATTCTATACCAGCATCAAACTTTTCTGTCAATTTCCAAATGCTAGTAAGTTTTCAATTTTAGGTACATTCAACAAAATCAGGAGAGACTGCAAGAGGGGAACTATTGTGACTTAACTTTAGTTCAGTAATTGAGTCTTACAGAAAACCACAAATTCCCACAGCTGTTGTTTAACAGGCTTGTTCTCAGTCACAAAACCAGAAAACACATTTATCAGCCCAACTGTGACAAGTAATCTTCACTAGGGCTATCTGTCACAAAAGACAGGTGACAAGAAAGTCTATTTCCATTAGATTCAACACACTGGCCCAGCAATCTTTACACTAAGTGGAAATATGACAGGGTAGGCAGACAGGCATTAATTTACAACCAATTTTCTGGAAGCAGTAGAAAGGGGTCAAGAACCTTTTCAAAAATACTTGAAATTCTTCTAATTTCTATTCTGTTATTATTTCATCTATTATCAAAGCTGTCTTTCAAAAGATCCTTCACCCTCCATTAGCATGTTTTTGCAATGTAAGTTCCATATAAGCAGAAAATACTGCTTTTCATGATATTATATGTAGTATAAAATATAAAATACAATTTTATTAAAATGTACTGGTGACAAAAAAGCCCTTTTTTTTGGACATACTTTTCTAATAAATCAGTAAACAGTCTTATATAATCTATCTTCCTATCTTCTGTTTTCTACCAGGCAGTATCATTTTTTAAAAGACCAAAAACTGTTAACTTTTCCTAATCTGCAACAAAGTGAAAAGGATATAAACCAAAAGGAAGACATAAATATTAACTTGAAAAATAACTATAAAAGTAATCATAAACTAAATAAACCCAAATCTTCTATTATGAAAAAATTTCAAAGAGCAATATACAGTTTAATAAGTGTGAAACACACACACACACACACACACACACACACACCAGACACTGTGGCACACACCTATAATCCCAGCAAGTCGGGAAGATGAGGCGAGAGGATTGCCAAATTAAGGGGCATACTCAGCAATTTAGTGAGGCCCTAAGCAACTCAGCAACACCCTCAAATAAAAAATACAAAGGACTAAGGATGTATTTCAGTAGAAAAGCCCTCCTTGGGCTCAATACACTGTACCAAAAAAAAAAAAAAAAGTACATATATTTAAAACTCATTTGTTACAGTATTAACAAATATGTAAGTGTAATTCAAAGTGCCACTTCAAATAAACAAAGATACTTTATGCAAACTAGGTTATATGCTACAATAAATATTAATTATGCTATGTATCAAAAGTCAGTTCTCATTTCCTGTGACTTGTCTACTAGTTCCAACATAATAAAAGATACCTGGTTTAAATGGTTGCAAACTAAACATTTGATAATTTCTGTAGTATTTAAATGAAGCTTCTTCAGAGTACATATTTTTCAAATACCTAATACATGTCAAACAAAAAACTATTTTCCTTTTCATAACAGACCATGACAAACCCATAACTGTGTTATTTGTTATTAAATCAGCCCAATGGCAACATGAGTTTTTAAATTTTGCATATATTATATATCTAAATGCACATTTAAAGTCTTTCATAAGTACACTCATTTAGGGATACATACAGAACATATAGAATTCCAACATATTACATATATATTCAAACAATAAACCTTGCCTTGACTTTAAAACTATGATTTCCCCCTTTTACTTTTCAAATGAATAATAACTTTACATAAAGCCATTTTTTAGTGTTCTACTTGCAAATTTGTAGAACAATTAATCAAAAAGTTTTTAATCACTTGCATACTTATTGAATTTTTTAACCAAGAACTGCATTACATGAATGATTGGCTTTTGTAATCTTATTGTAGCTATATAATTTGATTTGTGTATACATAAACAGCTGCTGCTGACAGCTGTCTGCTGCTATCCTGCAACAAAATAATTCATCTCAGCAGGAACAACAGTGATTTTTTTAATGTTTCCCCTCCCACCTTCTTCAGAAACCACAAACAGTTCCAAGGAAAATACCTTTTCATAATAAACAATTCCATACTCCTTATCATCACACTTGACACATCGAAATTCAACCATCAAATACATGAAATTAGAACTTCGTTTTTCACTCTGAAAAAAACAAATTTATGAAAAATGATCACTTTCAACATTTTCTTAAAAATTAGTATGCATTGTTTTTCCCAATTCAAAAATAATGCATAAACCAAGTACAATTTAAGATGTAACAAATTTTTCTTCATTATATGCATGTCCTGTTTTATATAGCACTGTTTTATATGTATCACTATTATTTTACCCAGTAGTATCTATTACTCACAATTCCCTCCTCAAATTTAATAAAACTTTTTTGATTTATTCAGTAGTTCAGATTTTACAATATAAAGTCTTGAAAACATTCCATATATATCTACATGACAACTGTTTTATTTAAAAAGCAAAGGTATTTTGTATTTCTAACAATGTTGGAAAAAGAACAATCCACCCTTAAACTAAGACTAATCCAACTATAGGAACTAATAAATTTTAAGAACAGGTAAAAGAAAAAATAAAAGTACATAACTAAGAAGGAGGCCATTTGACCTTACAAAGTATAACTTTTAGAAGTTTTTCATAATTTACAAATTGTCTTAAGACAACTTGTCATTTGTAAAGTGTTTTGGGGGGCGGGTTTTTGGTGGTGCTGGGGGATGAAACCCAGGACTGCCGACATGGTGGCAAGCATTTTACCAACTTGGACTACATTGCCAATTTTTCATTTGTCATTTTATCAACACTGGGCAATAATTACTCCTTATTTCAACATAAAAAAAAGTTTATTCTTCATGTCAATATGTCCCCTTTATTAAAAAAAATAGGCAAACAGTATGACAATGAAGTGAAAAAAAACAACAATGGAGTCTAAAAGAGTTATTAGTCCTATCTAAACCAGCTTTATAAATGGCTTTAAATGAAATACATAAAATCATAAAGGTTTAAAGAGGTTATGTAAATCGTTCAGCACATCATAGTCTATTGTGTAATGGTAATGATTGTCTCTCTTAAAAAGGGGGATGCAGAAGATGAGAAAGGATGGGCAACACCATATTTTCTACATCTCTATGCACTGAAACTGAAATACAGAGAAAGTCAATAAGTATTTTGGTGTACTTTCTTTTGGAATGTAGAATTATAAAAATTGAAAAGGTAAAGTTTTCTGTACATGAGAACAGATTATGAATAAATTTAGAAAAGACAACCAATAGTCCAAATAAACATAAATGTTAATCACCACTAAATTCATTTTTTAAAAAAAGCAAAGGTTCATTATAAAATTAAAAGCTTTCTACCTGCTGAGAACTGTTCAGAGAATATAAATTAAGTCACTTGTGGACTATGGTGGTCATTATGAGCCAGACAATGATATTCTTCTTTCCTAATTTGATTAATATAATTGTTATTTTTATTCTCTATATTTGTCTAAAGAATCAGGCCAAGCATCTGGTATTGTAAAACAAATCTAGAAAAAAGGAAAGCTTTCTTAAATAACATTCAGAAAGACTCTCACTGAAGTTATCTTTTAAAGATAATGTCATAAAACTGGCACAATTAACAAAGTGAAGGAAAACATAAACCACATAACTTGATCAAGGGTGCAGAGTCCTATATGTGGAAACAAGAGAAACAATAACATCAATTGGAGAGAAGACTTCTTAAGATGATATGTAGTAACGGAAAT